TCGTCTCCGCCGTGTCGCGCGGCCGCGTGGAGCTCGACGCACTCCGCACCGCGCGTGCCGACGCCACCAGGCGCACGGTGCAGGCTCCTGCACGCGGCGAAGGAGAGCGTGCCGTCGCTCGTGCCGAGCTCGCGGAAGGGATGGCCGATCGCGCCTACTTCCGACGCGTGCGCGAGGCCGCCAGTCGAGAGGCCGCGGGCTTGCCGCGCACTGCTCCCGTCCAGCTGGGTCGGGATTGGCGCAAAACCTTGCGCGCCGTCCTGCGCAACGCTGAGGTCTCGACGGGCCTCGCCATCGCAGAACGTGCCGCTCGTGCTGGGGACGCACCCGCGTCGTCCACTGGCCGCTCCTTGGCCGAGGTGGAGGCTGAGGACCCGCGCGCCTTGGCAAGGCCCGCCGACGACCCTGCGTCCAGCTTCAGCCGTCGTGAGCGGCGCGCGGTCCGCGCCCGCCTGGGCCCGCGGGATGAAGCGGTCGAGGACCAGCCCAACCGCGGTGGTCACGCGCCGCACTCCGCCTCGCGCACGGGCGCCGCGCGCGCCAGGCGCGCCGCCAGGCAGCGGCGGGCTTCGATGGCGGCGCTCCCCGCCCCTGAGGGGGGGGCCGCCGCGGCGCCTGGCCGCAGGGCGCGTCGCACTGCCAATGCGCGCCGCTGGGCAGGCGCGGCACGCCCCAGCTCCGCCGCGGGAGTGGGCTCCCCACCGCGGAGCCGCAGCCCTGCCCGCAGCCGTACGCGGTCTCCAAACCCGTACGGGACCGACCGCACCTCTCCCTCGGGGGGCTGCTCGTCGCCTCCCGTCGACGGCCCGATCTCGCCCGAGGAGCCGTCGGAGCCGCCTGCGGGGGAGGCATCGGAGGGCCCGCACACTCCTGACGGGTCCCCGCCCGCGAGCGTTCGCAGCCGCTCGAGAGCGGAGCCCGCGTGCGACGAGGACTCTCCGACGGAGCTCGAGGACGTCGTGCTGAGTGCCCTCGCAGACTCCTCGATGGACCTCGAGCGCGTCGTGGCGGGCCTGAACCCCGAGGTCCTCCGCCGCCTGCAGGCGGCCTTCCCTCGCCGCTCGGGGGCCTCTCCGCCCGCCGCTCGCGCCTCGGTTCGCAGTCGCTCTCGGGGCCGCGGCGCGCGTGTAGGCTCCGAGACTCCGCGGCCCGTGCCCCCGCCGCCGCCGCCGCCCCCTCACCACTCTGGTGGGCGTGCGGCGTCGCGATCCCGCGCGTCGACCGCAGGCCAGGGGCTTAGTCGGGCCGTCGCGCGCGGCTCCTCTCGCGCGCCTTCGCGTCAGGCGACGTCGCCTCGGCGTCGCGAGGTGCGCTCCCCTCGAGTCGCTCCGAAGCGGCGCCCGAGCCCCGCTACTGCGCAGCGGCCAGCCACGTCCCGCCATGGTGCGAGCTCGGGCGACGCCCACGCAGGCAGCTCCCGCGCGGACTCCGCTGCTCAGGCCCCTCAGTCTTCGGTAGGCACGCGCTCCTCCAGCGATGCCGTTGCGGCCCCGCAGGGCGGAGGGCGCGCCGCCGAGAAAAGGGGGTCTTCGAGCGGCCCCGCGCCTGGCCGAGATTCAGGGCACGAGCTGCATCCCAGCGGCTCCCACAGCGGCGACGCTGGGAGCGCCGCGGCTGCAGCCTTCGCAGCGCGGCGCACGGCCTCCGCGGCCGTTGAGCAGCCCTTGCCTCCAGGGGCCGCCACCGCCCTAGCGTGGCGTCTCAACCTCGGCGGTGAGAAGGTCACAGTGGTGAGGTGGGGACCCGCCTGGCAAGCTGCCTTCCAGAGCGCGGCGTCGTGGCTGAGGTCTTTCGCACCCGCAGGGGCCGCCGAGCCCGAGGGCAGAGATGACCTGCACTGCCTCCTGCAGGCCTTGCACGCCTATAAGCGCCTGTTTCAGACAGGCGGCGCCGAGCCGATCGACGAAGCCTCGTGGTTGCATCCTTACGTGGCCGCCGTCGAGCCCGAGGCTATCCCCGCGGGCGCTGACCTCCAAGCCATGGGGGCGGGCGCCATCCGTGGCATCGGGCTCGGCTCAAAGATCGAGCACAGGAGGCGCGCGGGCAAGTTGGCCTGCCTTTTCGACCTTCTGTACCACGTGCAGGACGGTCACGGCGCCATCCCAGCAGCGCTGTGGGGATCTCATTCCCCTCCGTCCGAGATCCTCGACGCGTTCGCGGAGGTGGTGCCCGTTCCACATCATTCGGGCCTCACGTCCTCGGCAGCTCGTTCCGAGCTCGCCGAATCGGCCGCAGCTGCGCGCGCCGAGCCGCGCCCGCCCTTTGACTGGGCGACCCTCGAGGGAAGGGGCGCTCTGCCCGCCGAGATCGAAGCAGGGGCTCGCCGTGCTCACCGTAACATGGGCGGATCCTTCACCTCGGCGCGGGCGATGCTGGCGGAGGCGTCGGGGTTCGAGACCGACGGGCGGGACACCCTCGTTCCGCCCTTCTACGCGTCCAGGAGCAGGAGGGCCGCCACGCTGATCAGCTCTCCCAGCCCTGGCCGCCCTGCGCTCATCCTGTGGTGCGTCTGCGGCCTCTGCATCTCTCTGGGAGCCGCGGCGCCGACCGCAGGCCAAGGGCTTAGTCGGGCTGCGCCTTCCGCGCCCGCTCGCCCTCCGCGCACTCCCTTCGTGCGCGATTCTCACCTCACCTCCGCGTATCTCGATCGTCGCTCGAGATCGATTGATGCGTTCGAACTGTGGTTAGCAGAACACACTGGCGTGCCGCCCGCCACTCTTTACCGTAGCGGGATACTTCTCGCCCGCTTCCTCGCGACCTTCGGCGTGTGGCTTCATGATGCAGGTTTCCCTCATTATATTCTGGTTCATGCCATCTTGGGAATCCAGAGCGCTCATCCGCATTGGAAGGCCTTTCTAACAGAAGCTTGGGACGTAGCGAAACAATGGAAGCTCGCGGAGCCGCCAAAGCTCCGCCCGCCCTTACCTCGCGCTCTGCTGCGCGCTATGGTCGGTCTCTGTTTCGCCTGGGACTGGCCTGTGATGGCGGCCTTGCTGCTCATGGGCTTTACGATGTTCCTCAGGCCTGGCGAGCTGCTGGCGTCACGCCGCTGTGACTTGTCGCTTCCTTGCGACCGCCTCGAAGTTGAAGGGGATGCTTTTCTTTCGATTCTTGTTCCAAAGACCAGGAGAACGTACCCGACGCAGCATGCTCGCTGCTCCGATCGGGGCACGGTGAAGATTCTGAATCAAGTGTTTGGGCGGTTGGCTTCCACCGATCCTCTCGCCCCTTTCGGTGCGAGCGGCTTCCGTACTCGGTGGAATCATTTGCTTTCGGCCCTGGGCGTCCCTCTTGCCAAAGCGGGTCAGGGGCTCAACCTGACGCCCGCATGTCTGCGGGGCTCTGGCGCAACAGACTTCTATATCGCTACGGAAGACGTCCCTCGCGTCTTCTGGCGGGGGCGTTGGCGTCAGGCTTCCAGTGCTGAGCGCTACCTGCAAGCCGCCGCCGCTTCCACAGTTCTTGCTGCGCTGCCCGTGCCCGCACGGGCGCGGATCCTGTTCTTCGCCACCGCCAGCGACCGCCTTGTCGCTTCATTTCTCCAAGTCGGCCCCGCCGCTTGGCCTGCCCTACTTGCGGCCGCCCGCCGAAACCTTGTCACTTCGCAAGGTCCTTGAGCACGGGTATGGCTGCCTCGCCGTCGTCGGCGAGCAGGCGGTCTCCCCCGCCTGACGCGCGGCGCCCCGGCACGAGCGCGCGGGGCGGGCCTGCCCATTTTGGGCCGCCCCGCGCGCGCGAGCCGCGGCCGCGCTCGGAGACAGCTCGCTAGCGCGCGAGCGGGAGAATGCCTCTTCTATTCTCTGTGAGCAAGCTCCTGCTGTCTCCGCAGCTTCTCTGCCCCCCTCCCTCCTCTCCCAATCTAAGGCTGATGGGCGCTGCCTCGCCGTCGTCGGCGAGCAGGCGGTCTCCCCCGCCTGACGCGCGGCGCCCCGGCACGAGCGCGCGGGACGGGCCTGCCCATTTTGGGCCGCCCCGCGCGCGCGAGCCGCGGCCGCGCTCGGAGACAGCTCGCTAGCGCGCGAGCGGGAGAATCATCATCATCATCATCATCATCATCATCATCATCGTCATCATCACCACCAGCATCAGCATCATCATCACAAGTCAGCATCATCTTCATCACCGAGCGCATCCGTGCGGCCGCGTAATTATCCGCGGGATGGCGCCCCGGAGTCCAGACCTCACGTTGCATCTTCGGGGGGCCGCGCCTATCCCCCAAATTCGTGTCTTTTCCCGTGCCCGACGCGGGCTCGATGCGGACTCGGCGCGGAGTTGGCTTGGATTCGACGCGGATTCGACACGGATTCGACACGGATCCGACGAGTCCGACATGGATTCGGCACGGATTCGACGCGGATAGGGCTTCGACGGGACAGACAAGGTCCCCCGAGGATGCAACGGAACAGACTGCGAGGGCGTGGATATGGATACGTTCGCCACCCGTCAGGATCGCCCCTCCCGCTCTCCTCCTCCCTCTCCTGGCACTGCGCGGGGAATTGGCATCCCCCCAGCCTCTCGCTCGGCGGCGAGCCCGTGGGGGAAGGGAGAGGGGCAGGCCCTCTCGGAAAGCGGCGGGGCTCCTTGGAAGCCCCGGCGCCTTCCGAGAACCTTCTCGAGCCCTTTCCGCGGACAGGAGGCGGCCTCTCAAAGAAGGCGAGCAGCCCAGCCGCCCTCTGAGCAGGCCTGCCCTCTCTTCTTCCTCCTCCTCCTCCTCCTCCTCCTCCTCCTCCTCCTCCTCCTCCTCTTCCCCCTCCTCCTCCTCCTCCTCCTCCTCCTCCTCCTCCCCCTCCTCCTCCTCCTCCTTCCTCCTCCGAGGGCCCTTCCGGGACGGTGCGGGCGCCCCCCGAAACGCCCTCGGCGAGGCGCAGCTGCTGGAACGCACCCCGAGGCTGGGCGACCGCCGGGAGCCGACGAGAATGCTTGAAAGTGTTGCCCCCCAGCACAGGCCCCCCCCCCCCTGGGCCCCTCGCCGCCCCGCACTCGTGCTGAGCCCCAGCGAGGGCTGGCGGCACCTGCACCGGCGTGGAGGCCTTCCACAGCATCGAGGCCCGACGACGACGACGACGATGACGATGACGACGACGACGACGAAGACGACGACGACGACGACGATGACGACGACGACTCCCGAGGGCGGCGGGGGGCATCCTCGGCGCCACCGGGGCACGGGGGATAGGCTCAGGGGGGGGCCTATCGACTTCCACCTGCTTGTCGATAGGGGCCCGATAGCCCAAGCCGCCCATGAGAACGTGCGGATTCGCTGGTGCGGGAATGCCGCCGATATATCATATATTGTATATGTATATATATACGATATATGTATGTGTATGTATGTATGTATGTATGTATGTATGTATGTATGTACGTACGTACGTATGTATGTATGTATGTATGTATGTATGTATGTATGTATGTATGTATGTATGTATGTATGTATGTACGTATGCATGTATGTATGTATGTATGTATGTATGTATGTATGTATAATATATATATATATATATATATATATATTATATATATTATATATATATAATATATATATATATATATATATTCCTCTTCCTATACTTTTACAAGCCCGGGCGGGGGGAAAACTCGTCCCCCCCCCCAAAACCGGACTCCCAGGATCTGGGGCTGTGAGACCCTCCACACGGGCCTCGAAGCGGCCCCCTGGGCCTCGCAGGGCATTTTGCCAAGCCTTCCCAGCACACCTACGGCGATCAGGGGGGTCATCGGAGACGTCCCAGAGACACCCAAGACAGCTCAAGAGCGCTCCAAGAGTGACCGACGTGACCTCAAGATGGCACAAGAGGCCTCCAGGACGGCCCCAAAGAGGCCTCCAAGAGCACTCCCAAGAAGGCCACAAGAGGCACAAATCATTAATTTTCTGTTGGTTTTTGTTGAATTTTGGGGTTCTCTTTTCGGCTTCCCGACGCTCCAAGACGGCGGTCTTCTGGGCGTCCGAAACCGCTTGGGAGGCTCCAACATCGCCCCACAACTCCATCCGAAAGAGCTTCCAGGCAGTCCAAGAGAGCCCCAAAATGGCACAACACGGGTCCAAAATGGCCCTCAGAGAGCCCCATGGCGGCCCAAGATAGCCCCAACACGCCCTCCGAAGCATTCCAAATCGTGACCCGGTCGTTCAGGGAGACCGCGGTTGGAGGCAGGGTGGCCCGAGGAATCCCCCAGAGGCCCCCAGAGTACGGCCAGGAGGCCTCCAGAAGGCCTTAAGAAAGCCTGAAACAAATTTTGTGAGGCCCCCAGAGGCTCTCCAAGGAGGAACCTCCGCAAAAAAGAGCTGAGGAGGATGGGGGGAGAATGCGCAGGGTATGGCGAAAAGGAGGAACATTAAGCACGGAGGAAGGATAGCGAGTAACATTACTGCAGCGACGATGCCGGAAAAGGCAACAAGGAGTTATCGCTAAATTGTCGGTTTGACCTTCCTTCTATTCCGCCTGCATGCCACACTTCAAGGACCAAGTTGCATGGCGCGAAGCGCCACAACACACATATATATATATACATATATATATATATATATATATATATATATATATATATATATATATATATATATATATATATATATATCAGACATGTATACACATGTATAGCAAACAAGAATACGCCCCCCACTGGGACCCACACCTCCCCGAAACATCTGCGGAACGCTCCGGTACCGCGCCGCCCAGCTTCCCAGGGAGCCTCCAAAACGCCCAAGGACAACCCAAGACGTCCCCCCCAAAAACCCAGAACGTGAAATAACAACCCAAGATGCCCCCAAACAGCCCAAGATCGCCTTCGGACGGCCCTCCAGGCTCCCAGAAAGCCTCCAAGAGACTTCAAGAGAGGTCCGAAAGGTTCGAGAGCGCCCGGAGAATGTAAAATCGTCAATTTCCATTTGTTATTTTCTAGGCTTTTGGCTCTCTTACCATTTCATGCTTCCGGCGCTCCAAGACGGCCGAAGAGGCTCTCAAGACCGCCCCAGGACCGTCCAAGAGGCCCCCAAAACGGCCCCACGACGGGCCAAGAAAGCCAAACAAATACGCCCCCCCCACCCCCCCGCCAGAGGTCCCACACCTCCCCGTCACATCTTTGGAACAGTCTCAGTGCCGCGCCGCCCAGCCTCCCGGGGAACGCCCAAAACGCCCAAGGACAGCCGAAGACGACCCCAAGAACCCCCCAGAACGTACAACAACAACCCAATACGCTCCCAAGCGACCCACGATAGCCTTCGGACGGCTCTCCAGGCTCCCAGGAGGCCTCGAGGAGACCTCAAGAGAGCTCCAAGAGGCCCTCCGAGAGCGCCCAGAGAACTTAACATTTGTTTGTTAACTTTGGCGTCAATGCTGCACCCCGCTGGAGGGAGGGAGTCGTAACAGGACAAGAGCAATACCAACAAGGCGAAGTTCGCTCTGGCCTTCTCGAGGCAGCAGCTTCTCGCAGGCTACTTGTTGTTGTGGACCACCGAAGAGGACGTCGGACCTGCGCAGGCTAGTGGTCAACTGGGACATTGGCTCGCACAAGGATTGGGCAAGCGGAACCTCAGGTAATGGAGTCCGAGTCGATGAGCCTTTTAGCGAAGTAAATATCGGCGCAGGCCTGCGAAAGGCAGAATGGTTCGTGGACTTGGGACCCACGGTTTGGGGTTCTGCTCGCCTTGGGGGGAACCGAGCGGGTGCTTCGCGGTCCTTGGCCCTCCCAATCGAATATGGCGGAGTGGGGCCAGGCCGCGGCGATCGGCAACGGCGGCGGCGCGGGGGAGATTTGGTGAGGCCGCGTTCAGCAGCGGCGCGAGCACTACCGCGAGCTCCGCCGCCCCGTGCTGATCGAGAACCCGGGCGCGAAGGCGCGCTGCGACAGGACGTTCACGGCGGAGAGGGGTGGCGAAGGCCAGAGTGTTGAAGCGCAGCGTTTGGTGCGCGAGTGCCAATGAAACTGGCCGCGGGGCCTGGCGCCCGAAAAAATTAGCTTGGCGAAGGGCCCGGCCATATGCTGTCGTTAGCGCCGTCGTTGCACGCGCCGCGTTCTGGAGAGCTATAAGGCCGCGAAGCGTGCGGGGGGCTCGCCAAGAATTGCCTTGTGGGAGCGCGCGAGAGCGGCCGATTGGGCCGTAGGTGGAATTCCCTATGGGGCCACGAAGCGCGCGCGGGGTGCGCCGAAATGGGCGCGGTGGGCGCGTGCGAACGCAGCCGCTGTCGCCTTCGGTGGAGCTCCCTATGGGGCCGCGAAGCGAGTGATGGGGTGTGCTGGAATGTGCGTGAGCGACGCATGTCGGGGGCCTGGAGACGGGGGTCGGGGGCCAGCCAGAGCGCCCGATCTTGCGGGGTCCTGCAGGGCCAGGGTCGCATTGACCCGGGCTTTGGTGCAGGATCCGGCAGGATCATGCAGGACCCTTCGCATGGACCCGGGTTTAGGGCCCCGATTTTGTGGGATTTGCAGATTCACCCGGGTCTGGATTGACCTGGGTCAGGAGATCCCCGATCGCGCGGGCGGTGGCGCGGGGGCCTTCGTTGGGGCTCTCTATGGGGCCACGCAACGTGTGGGTGTGTGGCGGAATGGGTGTGGGTGACGCATGCGGGCGGTGGCGCTGTGGCCTTCGGTTGAGCTCCCCATGGGGCCGCGACGAGCGCGCGGGGCGTGCAGGAATGGGCGCGGCGACGCGCGCGGACGGTGGCGCCGGGGTCTTCGGTGGAGCTCCCTCTGGGGCCGCGAAGCGTGTGAGGGGTGTGGCGAAATAGGCGTGGGTGGCGCGCGCGGGCGGCGGCGCTGCGGCCTTCGGTGGGGCTCGCCGCGGGGGCGCGCATCGCGTGGGGGGTGCGCCGGCGTGGGCGTGGGAGACGTGCGCAGGCGGCGGCGCTAGGGCGTTCGGTGGAGCTCCCTATGGGTCCACGAAGCGTGTGAGGGGGTGACGCGTGCGGGCGGTGGCGCTGGGGCCTTCGGTGGAGCTCCATGTGGGGCTGGTGCGGGGCGTGCGCGGCGAAGTGGGCGCGGGTGACGGTGGCGCTGGCGCCTTCAGTGGAGCTCCCTATGGGGTCGCGACGCGCGCGAGGGGCGTGCCAGAATGGGCGCGGGTGACGCGCGCGGGCTGCGGCGCCGGGGTCTCCAGTGGAGCTCCCAATCGGGCCGCGAAACGTGTGGGGGGCGTGGCGAAATGGGTGTGGGTCACGCGCGCGGGCGGCGGCGCTGGGGCCTTCGGTGGAGCTCCCTACGGGGCCGCGAAACGTGGGAGTGGCGTGCCGATATGGGCGCGGGTGACGCGCGCGGGCGGCGGCCCTGCTGCCTTCGGGGGGGCTCCTTACGGGGCCGCAAAACGTGCGGGAAGTATGCCAAAATGGGCGTGGGTGACGCGTGCGGGCGGTGGCGCTGGGGCCTTCGGTGGAGCTCGCTATGGGCCAGGAAGCGTGCGATGGGGTGTGCCGAAATGGGTGTGGGTCGCGCGCGCGGGCGGCGGCGCTGCGGCCTGCGGTGGAGCTCCTTATGGGGCCGCGAAGCGTGTGAGGGGTCTGGTGAAATGGGCGCGGGTGACGCGTGCGGGCGGTGGCGCTAGGGCCTTCGGTGGAGCTCCCTATGGAGCCGCGAAGCGTGTGAGGGTGCGCCAAAATCGGCGTGGGCGGCGCGGGCGGGCGGTGGCGCTGCGGCCTTCAGTGGGGCTCCCTATGGGCCACGAAGCGTGTGAGGGGTGTGCCGACATGGGTGTGGGTGGCGCATGCGGGCGGCGGCGCGGGGGCCTTCGGTCGGGCCTCATATGGGGCTGCGAAGCGCCGCGCTGGGCGGGCGGCGCGCAGGGGGGGGGGCGCGTCCGCCGTCTCTTCAGAACGAGGGCCCAACGTCGCAGGATGGTTGGGAAGAAACGGGCCAGTCTTACAGCCAGGGCCAGATTCTGGCGTCAGTTCATGAAGCCATGCGCTCGCGCAGCTGTAATCCAATCTTATTTCCGGGCGCGCGGGCGCGCAAGACGCCGTTCCCCGGCTGCTGGCGCGCGGGCCAGACCGGCGCTTTCAGCCGCGAGGTCCTCGACGCATCCCATGGGGGCTTCGGGG